AAAACTACTAAAGTTAACTGAAAAAAAAAGTGTTGTTTAATCTACTTTAAAAAAAGGCACCATACTACAAATATTTTTATACTTCGTTTTTCTACAAACGGACCTAAAGGTCTGCTCTCCATTAAAATTATTGAACTGATCAAAAAACTATCTTCCCAGTGCATATTTCAAAAACCATATGAACGATAACAAGAAAAAGACTAATTGTACCATCAAGCTTTGACTTTAGTAGCATGTGCTTCGTATCAGTGCCACTAACATTCTTAAACAAAATGCACTCTCCTGTGCCAAGATGGTGACAATTTTTCTGTGTGAAAAGTAAGGTCAAATGCAATACATGATAATTGGATTGATTTTTAAATTGGTTTTTTAACATATATTAATTTATTAATTATATTTTTTATAATTAAAAAAAACATTTTTAAAAAAATTTATTATTTTATAATACAAAATTTTAATTTATGTCATAAAAAATATATTAAAGATATATTTATTTTATTTTTTGTTATTAATTTATAAAAAAATAAAAATATATTAAAGCTTACCTCTTCATGTTTCCCCGATGTTCAAATAAATAAATAAATTCTTCTATAATCGATGACTGAAAAACGGCTGGTACAGACATGGAAATAGAATTCGTTCCTGATCACAAGTATAGTGAACATAAACTTCAGAAAAAAGGCAATGTAAAAAACAAAACAGACGTCAACGTCGGTCGGTCGGTCGACGTGTGCCATGACGACGTCACGGGAGTTCGCCACTCATATCATATGCGTACTCCTCCCCCCAACAAACCAAACCCCCTCCCCCCTCCTCCCAACCTTTAAATGGTTGGGCATTTGGAAATCGAACCGATGGTTATTCAGAAACTGAATTGAAAAAATGAATTTGATTTGGTTTTAATGGCGTTTGATTTTTATTGTTTTGATTTTAATGTTAATCAAATAATTTTTTATTTTGATTTTGGTTGAATTTTTTAAAAATTAAAAATAAATTTTTAAAATCAAAATTATAATAAATATGATATATATTTTTTATTTTCAAATCTCTTTTCCCTCGATTCAAAATTCGAATTTAACATCTCTAATTTAGAGTTCAAAACTCTTAACATTTCAATCATCTCATTGGGATTATTAATCACTACTTAAATAAGCATTCTTATTTAATACTCTCTTGGTTTATTTTTTGTAGATCTAATTTTTTTTTGTCTAATAAAATAGAGATTTAATAACTTATTGATAAAATTTCATATTTATCCTTAATTAAGTATACCATTTAAATAAAATTTATTACTTAATTATCTTTTAAAATGAGGATAAAATAAAAATAAATACATTAAATGACATCATAAAAAAAGAAAAATGAACAACTAAATTTGGATTTCCTAAATAGCAAACTAAGTTTACTAAAG